GTGACAGACACATGACTCCCCCACACCGCACGGTGGCAGCATAACTTACAGCGACAACAACCCACAACACAAGAAGCTCCTCAGTATGCTAGCAAGCAACAGAGAGCTGAGGTAGGAGAGCCTTGTAGACAGAGGCACAAAAATGAGCTAATGTATATATATTTGTAACTTTTTTCCCTTATTTGTTTAGTTAACTAATAGTTGTATATCTAGCAGTGGTGTGCGTCGAGGAGCTAGCCTCGCTGTGTTAGCCAGCAGACTAGTTCATGATATGGTTAGCCTGACAGCTAAAGTTGCAGTTGGGCAGCTGGTCTCCCTCACATAGCCTCGATGAGGAAACCCAACCCCGGCTCAAATGCTGTAAACAACACTAACCAGTTTGTCTTGAGTTAGCTTGTTGGCCGCTGAATACAGCAGAATGACAGGTGAGTGTCATCTTCACACACACACCAATTGAGCCATCATTGGGTTTGAATAGCAGCGTCACTTTGCCGTTTTTAAAGAGTATTCCCACAATGATGATAACACCACGGGTTTTCTCAGAGGATGCCGTCTTGCTGAATGTACCTGTCATTCGGCAACTGTACCACTGGGACTGTGGGTTAGCCTGCTCCAGGATGGTCCTGAAGTAAGTGCACAGTCAAGTAATGTGAATCCTTTTGCATTATGTACTCAGCCAAAGTGTTCTTAATAACAGCCATCACCATACACATGATACTGAAATGGCACTTCTTGCTAACACGGGTGCACTGCAGTCACCCCTGAGGGGTTTACAGTCTCTAACTGTCCTATTTTGCAGGTACCTCCATCCAGTCAGTGATGAGGAGTTTCAGAGAGCATGCTGGGACCTGAAGCTGACGGAGAGTGTGTGGACTATTGACCTGGCCTACCTCATGTGCCATCTAGGAATCAGACACTGCTTTTGCACGCAGACCCTGGGCGTTGATAAGGGCTTTAGGAATCAGGTATTTGTAGAGTCTACGCTATGAGTGCCGTCCCAAACAGATTTGAATCATTCTAGTTCTGTGTGTGTGACAGTGTCTTTGTGGTCTTTTGCTGTTGTTTGCAGTCCTTTTATAAGAAACATTTCGACACAGAAGAAGACCGAGTGAATGAGCTCTTCCTTAACGCAGATAGCAAAGGTGTGGTGGTGAAGAAATGGTGAGTTTTCTGTTAATTATTGCTCATTTTGGACAAGCCACCTGTTTTTGCCTCAGACAAAGTAAACCTAACACCTGAAATGTGTCGGTGCTTATCTTTTCATAGTTCTGTCACAGTTCAGGAAATCCAGTCTCATCTGGAGCAGGGACACGTTGCCATAGTGCTGGTCAACGCCGTCGTCTTGACGTGTGAACTCTGCTCCTCGCCTGTCAAATACTGCTGCTTTCTGCCTGTGGGCCAGAAGTGTTTCTGCAGGAAGCCAGAGTACCAGGGTCACTTTGTGGTGGTGTGCGGCTTCAACAGGACCACTGGCTGCGTTTTCTACAACAACCCTGCGTATTCTGACCGTGAGTAATCTTGTCTGTCCAAAGCACAAGCAGAATGCTCCGTAACTGTATTTTAATAAAACCAGTTTAAGTGTCAGTGAGCTACAGGGGAAACGTTTTGGAAATATAATGCCAAGAGATGGTGTCAGAAGTTACATCAGGACTTGTTTCCCTTTTTGACATGTAAAGGGATTTTACTTCTTCTTTTTTAGATTAAATTGGTGCTCAAACAATAACTGGATTAATCGATACATTGATCGACAGAAAAATAATCGGCAACACTTTTGATTTACTTAGTTTATCAAGTCAGAATGTCAAAAAGTGCAGTTTGTAGTTTCTCAAATGTGGGGATTTACTGTTTTTCTCTTTTTTTTTTTTACATGTTTGTAAATTATATTACTTCAATTTGGCTTTTGGACTGTTTGTCAGAACAAAAATATATGAATATTACCAAAGTCATCAAAGTCATCAGGATTCATCAGCTGGGAACCAACAGATCAACATTACCATCTATAGAGCTAAAAGTGGGAGAAACACATTTTGAAGATTCTGCTATCATCTACTGACTGCTTGTAACAAGTTATGTCTCCAGTCTGGAACTGACGTGTGTGTGTGTGTGTTTCAGGGGTGTGCTGCACCAGCGTCAGTAACTTTGAGGAGGCTCGGCGGAGCTATGGGACAGATGAAGATATCCTGTTTGTCTTTAAGGAGAGTTGATGGACATTGATGATGGATTTGAATTTCACTCTTTCCCAGCTCATCATTATAGTGACGTGATGCTGCAGGTCAACAATGTCGGACTAGTTGCTCCTCCTGTTGTCCGTTATCACAGATCCCCCGGGCCATCCTCTCCGGTGCCAATAAGCCCCGGCTGCTCACATGAAAGGCGCCTAGCTGCAGATTCACCGCTCTCATTCCCTCTTACACAGTCAGTACTACGCAACCTGTGAAGGATTAACAGCTGAGAGGTTCAATAATCTAAACTGAACTCCCTTTTTGAGATGAGCAGATAGTTCCAATGAATTTTATTGTCCTTTAATTTTAATGACTGCGGTTGCTCATGTATTTGGAGCCATCCAGACTTGAGAGACTACAGTGGATGAAATGTGGGAATAACGACATAGAATAAATAGGAATTCCCAGGAAATGGTGTGCACATAATTCAGGGCTGATGATGCAACATTTAGTATATCCAATTTATTGGTGCTGTTCAGTGTTGACATCAATAGCCTCACCTCCACTTGCCTTTAAAAAATCCTCCTAACTCACCTTTCAGTCACTTTTTCTTATGATGATTCTGTCAACAGGGAATACAGTAAGCTGTCGTGTTTTGAGAGTCTCAGGTAATTAATGCCCTAAAGTGTGACATGCGCTTCAAATAACAAAACTAGTTCAATGCAATACTACATAGAGTGTCTATGGAACTCAGTCTACCTGCAGAAGAACACAGACAGTGGATTGATGTGTTGAAACCCACCAGTTTCATTCACCTCACTGGAAAAACACAGCTCAACATCTGTGTTTTGGTGTCATGGCAACATGCTGAATAGATAAAAAAAAAAAAAAAAAGCATTGTTTGGTTGTTTTGATCATGCTGCAGAACAAAGGTGTAATTTGGACTCAGTTTTGTTCTCTGTTGAACGCAGTGAAGACCAGGTAATTTCCTCATTGTCCTTCAGTTTAATTTACTTAATTTTGGAATCATGTATACGTTTTTGCACTACGCTTTTCAAAACAGACATAATTATGTTATTTAAATTAAAAATCTTATCATGAAATTGATGTTCTCAATCTTTAATAAGAACAAACAGCACGTTTTAAACCGCAAACTTTATTTTTTATCAAACATAGAGCTGCATTTATTATATGTTGTGATTAAAGGATTTGAACATATGTCCCATCCTTGTCTCTTTTTTTCTGGTACATGAGTACTTAATGAGGCACTTCACACCTTAAACTTCATTATATACTAGAATTTTGCCAGACATCAAAAATCAGGGCTCGGTCCTGTGTTTCATATGCGAGTTATTAATGTGGTAATGTCATATAGTGGCCAGCTGGTACGATCCTGGTAATCTGTTGATTTATTCATTGTGAATAAATATCAGTACTTGAACTTTTTGAGGCAAAGGAACTCACTGTTCATCATACATACAGTGTTCCAGGATTTATGGCAAATATGTTTCAATTAAAAGAAACTTACATTTTTTGGTTTTCAATGAAAGTTTTCAATTGCTTGCTGTTCCATGTCGGTGTTTATATCATGACATCAATCTCAGACAGGGTTTGTCTTTATTTGTTTGTCAGCGAGCCTGAATTAATGGACTTAAGGATGGTTGTTCCACATTATTAAGCAAGTTCACAGTTTCATGCCAAATATAGGGGTAAAATTTCTTGTGAGATGGAAAAGCGTGACATTAGTGCAGTATCTTTCAATAGGGTATGAAACACTGAATATTTACGAAAGTATTAAGGGAGGAGATCATCATCCTTTGAAAAGATTTGTGTCTCATTCCAAGAGCAGACAGGATTCGTTCAGATAAAGTTCGTGTTAGGGAAAGTTTCTTGTAAGGCTAATTCATCGTATTAAGTTGAGCAGCTGTGAAAAAGCCACTGCATAAGTTGCTGGACGCCAGGATTCCTCCCAGAGGTCTTGCTGAATTTTGGCCACCATTAAACAATGCCCACAAGGAGCACATGATTGCAGTTCGGCTCAGAGAATACAGGAAGACAATGGTCTAACAGTTTTATCACGTGATGTATTGCCGTGGCTGGCGATGTTTTGGCTGGAATCATGGGAAGCTGATGGTTGGTTGCCCCCTTTAAGGTAGCGCTGAAGGGTCAAAATGACCTCTGCCAAAAATTGTTCCTAAGCTGGGCCCATTCCTGCCGATGGTATAAAAGAAGAACCATGCCTTCGGAGTAAAATCATTTTCATATAAAGACAACGCACCATTCCCATGGCTGCAACAAATACCATTGACTTAGGGCGCTTGTATGGGCATTAAGGAGAAAGAATCACGGTGTGGGCCACCATCATCCCTGGGACCTCAACCTTATTGAGGAACCTGTGGAGCATCCTGGGTTACAGTTGGGGGTGGCCAGTTTTACCTCAAAACGAGCTCATGGCGGGAGGCAACTCTGGCATCCTCAAAGACAATACAGGGCAGAAACTGTACATGGACAGTGCTCAATGATGAGGCGAGTTGCTTAAGGTGATATCAAAGAAGCGGCTCCTGGATGTGGTAATATGTAACTCAATCTTTTAAAGATGTTTTTGTTTAAATAGCTTTTGATTTGAGAACATTTCCTTTTAATGAAAAAAACAAACAGATTTCGCGTTTTCAATCCTTTAGGAAACTATTAAGTGCTTTTTGAACTCTGTTTTTGCTAAAATTGGAACACGTGCATTTTGAGTTATTTTGCAAAAATGCCATTGTCATCATTGGTAAGTGGTTTAATTAAAGGATCCAGATTACGAGTATAATGTTGAAAAAAATCCTATTGACTGCCAGTTATATCGACTATTTAGTGAGAAAAAGAACAAAAACAGTATATGCATAATAATTTGGAACACAGTGTATTCTAATTGTGAAATATAAAATATACATCTTCTATACAGTAGATTAAAAGCACTTTACAATTTATGAAACTAACTTAATGGCAATTATCTAACAAATATGTCAAAATGAAATGATTTTCATTGGTCTGATAACAGAAACATTTTGTTGAATTTATCTATTTTGATCATCATTAAGTAAATTTGTAAAGTGAGGATTTCTGAACTCTTTCTGCTGTTTGTTTATTAACTGACCTCCTTTTTCAAAAGTGGCCCCTGGACAAAGCAAGCGGAGTATCTCTGGTGTAAAAAGTCCAGATTATCCAGATAACTGTCAATGAACCTGCACTGCAGGTTTTAGCTTAAAGCAAGACTTAGTTCATTTAAGAAAAAAAACAATTTGTCCTCTTGCTGATGAAAAGTTGGATTCATAAGCAAACTGAGTAAAAAACCCTTAATCAATTGTGACCTCTGGTTTACAGTGGCTAATGTAAAGCCAATGTTAGCAAGGTAAATACTGTAATAATGTAACTTGTGATACTGTTAGATGCAGTTGTAGCATTTAGCATTATCCCATGATTGTAACTTGTGGCTGCAGTGGACACTGTTAGCTTCACAGAACTGAAGAATCTGGGCTTGTGTCAAATCATCAACTATAAGTCTGTTATAAACATATAAAGAACACAGTTTGACTTTGTTTGAGTTTTCTGTGATAAAGTTATGGAAACAACTAAATGGAACCAACCTGACAGACACAGAATATAAACACGATGTCAAACGAAATGAAAAGAACTGATCTCGTTGTGTTTCATTTCATACTTAAATGCACTATAGAGGATTATCATTTACTCCTTCACTATGTTGGGTTTGAAGTCATGTCTGACGGCCGCGGTAAGTTCATCTGCGTACTCAGCATACCGCCCAGTCATCTGAAAATAAAGGTACGATGAACAGGTAGATTAACAGTAGTCCCGGAGAGTAGATTGTGTTTTTACAACAATGAGTACAAAGCTTCCAAAACCTTTACCCATTAAGCAAATATGTCCACAATCACTGCAGGACCAAACAATAGTAAGCCACCTTAAAGTAGGTAAAGATGGGACATCCAGGGAGACTGCTTACATGCACTCTATGACCAGTTATATTTACCTTAAAACTCCATTTGTCACAGATTTGTCTGTTCAGGTTGAGATCCATTTCCACCACCAGCAGGCCGTCACGGGTCCGAGATAGTCCCGGGGTGCGGCTGCCGTCAGGAGCAGCCACATAACTGGATCCATAGAAGTGTCCAAAGTCATGGTGGGCTGCAAAATTCAGGAGGACTGTCTGTGAGTGGCACTGGAATAATTCACGCTGCCTGTGACAGCTACTCACTGACTGAGAAAGGTTATCCTTTGAAATAAACTTACTGACACACATTTAGATTCAGCCACACTCAGTTCACCATACAAGTTAAAGAAATTAATTAATTTCTCAGTTCTAGGAAATAAATCTCTCACCTTTTTTTCCATCACCAGATGTGAATTCACTTTTGAAATGTTCCTGTGTGAAATACAAGAATGCACTGAGGTCATGTCAGTTTCAGGGATGTGGAAGGTTTTGGGTTGGGTGTGGAAATTGTGCAGTTTAATAATCAGTGATGATGAAATGGTTACTGATACCATATTTCATGAAATTAAAATAATAAGCTTGTGATATATCTGTATTTCACCATATACAATGCTTTAAGGGACCTGCTTTCTTTGCTGTCATTTTTCATTTATATTTTTTGCAGCACTGACCAAAAAACCCAACATGTTAAGACTACAGGTTTCCCCCTTATATTGTATCAGGAAATGTAGGACTCATGTCATTTATCAGAGACACTGCAGACAGACTGCAGCTTACAGAGACTGACTCACCGTCCCAACACGGTTGATTGCACAAGTGAAACAGTGGTTAGCTATTGCTGCATTCCTGGCCTCTATCGGCCACATGGGCTCACTGTAGAGAAGAAATAACATTATTGTTGAGTACATAACAACAACTTCAGTACAGTATATAACAACAGCTAGAGGTTTATTAACACTGATGCCAGGCAAAGCAGGCAACTGCCCTCAAAGCACCAGACCTCCAGGGACCAACAGCCCCAGGTTCACTATGTGGCAACTGATTTCTCGTAATTTGATTAATTGTAACATTTTGAGGGGAATTGAAAAACTATGTACAACTACAGCACAATATTGACAACATCAATTACATGTTGCCTATTTCCAAATGAATGTGTGTTCAATCAAATTACCTCACAGCAAACACAGGGCCATATAATAGGGAGCCCAGGAGCTTACAGCCCAGGGGCCTCTACCAATTGTTAAGACAGCCATGCCAGAAATAACAGTTACTCCATTTTGTCCCTCACCTTAGAGCTCCAACAGTAGCTGAGGGGTTGAAGATGATCTCAGCTCCATTCATACTGTACATGAACCAGTTAAGAGGGTGATGGCGCCCGTAGCAGATATTCACAGCTATCTTCCCAAACTGTGTCTGGAACACTGTGTGGCCTGTGTCGCCCTCCATATAATACGTAGACTGAGTGTAAAATAACACAAAGAGAACATTACAGTGATGTACACTAATTTCATAGAGGAGCAGTGGATCACACAGTGTAACAGAAAACACACACTGACCTCATTAAAGTCGCCGATCCTGGGAATATGGTTCTTCCTGGTCTTTCCCAGCACATTTCCAGAGTTGGAGATCACCACTGCCGTGTTCCACAGAGTGCTGTGCAGCTCCTCTCGCTCCAGGATTGGAGAAACAACTACCATGTTGTATTTTTTGGCCAGCTAAAGACAGAATTGCAGAGTTATTGGCCTTGTGTTCTGTAGTAAAGCACATCAAAGCACTGCGTCAGACCTCTCTATCTCACCTCTTGGCAGAAACGTGTGGTGTTACCTTCCTCAGCTGACTCTGCAAACTCCGTCCACGGTTCTTTCTCGCGGGTGCAGAAAGCAAAGGGCATGGCTGTGGACAGCAAAAGGGGCAGGTTAGTCTATTCTTCTTGCTGTTATGTGTAGTTCTGACTCATGAAAGAACTCACTCCAGGTCTCCTGAAAGCAGACGATGTTTACACCACACATGGCTGCCACTTCAACCATCTCACCAACCCGGCTATGCATGGCAGTGATCTGTGGAGGGGACAACCAGAGTTGACTTCAAATGCAAAGCATCCTGTCAGTCTCTATCCCACTGACACCACACAGGTCTGTTTGCATGTGTTCTTTGTGTGGTTAGTAACATGTGTCTCAGTCCACACCTGGTCCAGGATTGGGGCATCAGTGGGCAGGACTATGCGGTGCTGAATGAGTCCCACACGGATCCTCCTGGGCGGCCTCAGTTGTTCCTGCACAGCTTCAAACCTGTAACCCTTCAGCTCAAAGTCGCGCTCGGAGGCAGCATTCACGGCACATGCAGGGAGGTCCAGCTTCCTGTAACGGAGAAGATTCTTCACCAGTGCACACACAGTGACGCCTACACCACAGGATAGGAAAAACATTGAACCAAGCACAATGTTGTAGTCAGGTGTCTCTCAGGCCTTTATGTCGACAGTGAGAAGTGAGCAAAACCTTTGCTCCCTTTCTGTGTATTTTCTTCTCAGACAGTCAAATCGGTGTCTGTCCAAATGCCACAGAGCAGAGATCCTGAATCTGTGACAAGAGTTTACAGTGGACTCAAACTGACTGACCACATGACCTTCATAATAAGAGTTTGTCTTAGAAGTAAAGCAGTTTGTTGATTAATCAATTAGTCCAGTGACTTCCACTAGGGGTCGCCAAAGCTTGATGAGGGCCTTCTTGATTTTAAGGCATGCTAGAAAACTTTAAAACTATACATAGTATGTCTATATCTCAGCATTTGGTTGGTTCACTTCTGTTAAGAATAGTTAATGTAAAGCAAAGTAAATTGTCTAATAGAACAATGACTAAGCATCATAAACCATAAAACACTGAATTTGTCAGAAAAGAAGCCTATTAAGTCTGTGTGATTGTTAAAAACTATAGGAAATACATAATACAGACATACTTGTTTAGAAATAATCTGCTTAAAATTCATCCAAATCATTCATTTTACACAAATGTCTTCAGTTCACTGTTTGGGTTCATTGTACAGTTTGAATATTATATGACATATCCATAGAATCTGTCACTTAGTCAGGGGTTGTCAGTTTACTAAAGGATAGAAAAGGGGTCCCTGAAGGAAAAAGGTTGGGAACCAATGATTTAGTCCATCGACAGAAATCTTTTTTGATAATCTATTATTTATTTAAGTCATTTTTTTTCTGGTTACAGCATCTCAAATGTGAAGATTTTCTGCTTTTCTTTGTCAAATTAATATCTTTAGGTTTTGGCCTTGCATTCTGGGACAGGTTTTTTTTTCAACTATTTACAAAACAAGCAATCAATTAATGAAAAAATGATCTGCAGATTAATCGATAACAAAAACAAGTTAGATGCAGCTCTAATTTATTCTCCCTTGTGTATTACTGGTGCCTAATAAAAAAATAAATGGAAGTCTGGACTAATACTAAGAGTTTAACAAACATGCAATTAGAGCCTTTTTATTGAGTAATCCTCTCTTTGCACATGTTAAAGGTTGTGTGTTGCACACTGCAGCTCAGACAGCACTGACCAAAGTCCGCACAGCAGAACAATAATTTACCAGGAGCAGATTGAATAGAAACTGCAAAAGAATAATAATAATAATTCTAATAATAATAATAACATATGTACAGCTGAACAACTTCTCTCGCGATAACTCACTTTGTTTCCTTCCCGAATAAAATGCGTTTCACCTCTGAGAGCTCGGCCTCCGGCAGGTGGGACTCCAGGCTCTTCTCCAGCGATTCAAACTCACATGCGGACATTTCTGCGCTTTTTCTTCGGGTTTGCGGCTTCGCAGCAGCAGCAGCAGCAGCAGCAGGAGCTCGGTGTCTGCTGGCAGCGGACTGTATGCACGTTTTATCATTTACTGTTGTTATATAATCCTATGTGCTTTCACGTAGTCTGACGCAATTCAGGAATTTAGGAAGACGAGCCGGCCGTTGTCTGTCCAGTTCGGTCATTAATTAACCCTATGTATCCCTCCGCCAGTGTGCGTGTGTGTGTGCGTGTGTGTGTGTGTGTAATGTCAGGGCATAATTCAACCATCACCTGTTTACTCCAGCACACACAACTCTGTTCCACAGGTGGAGAGCACTTACCTGAGTAACTCTGCAGCTCTGTAGCCTACTAACAGTTAGTATAATTTAATTTAGTATTCATTTTCATCTTTGTGCTATTATTACTTCTATCAGGGAAACCTTTTTCTCATTTGCAGCTAAAATGAATTCATTCAAGAAAGGGGGATTTTAATCAGTTTCTCCCTGAAGGGTATGGCCAAAAATAGAAATCAATCAAAAAAGCCTTTAAAAATGGTTTAAGTGGTGAATATGTAATTATAAATCATACTAAAAAAACGTGTTGTCCTTTCTGACTCTCATACCCACCACCCCACATTGAATCAATCAGGATGAATTATATCTTGCACATTGCAAATATCCCTTATGAAATATTTTGCAGATTTACATTAACGTCTCTTTTCTATTTCATCTTTATATTTTTCTGTTTATTGTTATACACTAATATACCAAGGCAAATTCCTTGCATGTGAAAACCTACTTTGCAATGAAACCAACTCTGATTCTGACTTAAATGGGTTTCCCAACAAAGAATGGCTCTAAAAACACAGTTTAAACAGTTTTATTTGAACTATTTAAGCAGCACCATGTTCTATACTATCTGGTGAATCCTCTGGTTCTCACACTTAAATGGAGTTACACGGCTGGTTAAAAGGGACCACTGACAATTAAAATATGGGATTTTATATCCAATTAAAAATTAGCTGCATTTCTTTGTTTCAGAAAGAGCGATGTGTCTCTCCAGTAGAAAAAGCAAACAATTCCATCATACAAGACTACTCTCAGCAAACCCCTGTCTATTCCCTGGCAGAGTATTACTAATGTGCAGTGTGGAGGCTGGTGAGTACAGGGGCCTCTCCTCACTAATTCCCAATCAATTCAAATTCAATTTATTTGTATAAGCCGCCAATTCATAACAGAAGTTATCCATGACACGTTTTTAAATTTAGAGCATGTTAGACGCAACACTCCTTATAACATTATTTACATGAGACCCAACAGTACCACCATAACAGCAACGCTCCTTTTGGTGACACGGCGGCAAAGGAAAAACTTGCCTTTTTAAGGGAGGAGAGAAACCTAGGACAGACCCTTCAGCTCTAGCGTGCGGTGGTCATTCAGGCCTCGACCAGTTGGGGTGGGTGAGAGAGACAGACAGACAGATCTGTTATATTAATACAGAATAACACAATCTTTGTCATACATAATGCCACGATAATATATCTAAAATTGAATGCCATTTTATTCTTGATTTATTATTATTTAATTTGTAGTAATTTTCCATTGTCTTTTTGGTATTACTTTAACTGTTTTAAAAATATTTTTTCAGCCAATGTTTTTGGTAATTCTGAAGCAGAACTTTGTGATCTTCATGCCATATAGTTGCTCTACTCTGTCAGCTTGATGTTACATATCAATTGAACCATTTTGTGAAATTGTTTTATTTAAGATCTGAGGTCTGTGACATCATGTCTGCAGTGACACCCAAAGCTGTTATCTGTTACAGAAAGATGAAGCTTCCCAGCAGCATTGCCTTTGAGACTTCCACTGAAGTCTGAAGGTGGCTGTTTTGCAACATTTGTGGTTGAATTAATTTGTGCAATGGTGAGACCGAAGCTATGAACAGAGTAAACCAAATCAGACATGTGTGGCACAGTCCGACATTCACAGAATTCACACATTCATTTTATTGAAGACTGTGTCATCTTCTCCTACTATGACTAAGACAGAAAACATACATTTGCAAAATTCCTACATCTGATGCAGTTAACAGATTGGTTGCATAAATACAGGACCTGTTCATGTTTAAGAACATGTTTTGTTTCAGGCTTTCTACAAAAGTTATTTAAAGAAATCATACCTAAAAGTCTATCATGACTCGTATAGAAACTATTTCATTTGGTGTTTCTTGTCATTTGCAGAGGTGTTTTTGCTTCTGGTTTGTTTGGCAGGACTGCTCCTCTGTGTCCGTCCTCTTCTCATCTGTCTGTCTCGCTCCTTGTCAGGGTTGGACAACTTCCTCAGCAGCTCTACAACAGAAGTGGTGACAAACTAATTGTCACAATTATATTTTTTATTATTATTCTAAACATGAGTTTGACCAGCAGGAGGCCTCAGAGATCCACTTCAAGTCTACTGGTTGGTCAACACTGTTAAGTTTTGAAGTGTTTATTCCTGTGCTGATGGTACCTGTTAACTCAGGATGACTCTGGCTGAAGTTATTCAGGAGAGACACATATTTCCGGCCTCCAGTGTCATCATCTCCTGAAGGGAAGTGAACATCAGTGTGTAATAAAACAGCTGGACAGGCTAATAGTTTGCAGACATTTCCCATAAAACAAAATTAAATATAGTTTTTGTTACCTTCATGAGCACTGAGCAGTAAATCAAAAGTTTAAACTCCTATATTCCCCAAATAATGTTTCCTTTCTTAAAAATGTTATACATTTTATAAAACCTTATATATCGTATATTATTATAATACAGATTTATTTACAGACAAAAAAAAACACTCAATCCAAAAAAAAAAAAAAGAGGCTACTTTTAAATTCTGATTTTCTAAAACTATAATAGACCTTTTTCACAGCAGGCATTTTGACATGAAATAGTAGGGTAAACACGTGTTAGCAATGATACTAACTGAGGTTGCATTCAGGTCAAACAGAGTCAGGGTGCTGCTATTGTGCATGTTGGCTCACTGGAAAGGCTCTGCTACACTACATGGAACCCTAATTAGTATCATTGCTAACACCCGTGTTTACCTTACTATTTCATGTCAAAATGCCTGCTGTGAAAAAGGTCTATTAGGATTGAAATATGATCATTTTGTCAGTCAAACAGGCCAGAGATTGGTGACCAGATGAGGTTTTGAAACCGAGATGGACTCACGGCATACTCGCAGGAGGACGTAGTACTGCCTCTCTGCTAGCACGCTGCTGGTCAGAGCCAAGCTTTGCTGCTTCCCCTCCAGGTTCATCACTCTGCCACTGCTGTCCATCAGGTCCACACACTCTACAAGAAGAATTTTATGTTCTTTTACACAGCACTTAACATTAACATGTTTTGTACTTGACTAAAACCAGATAACAGTAGTGACTTGTAAAAGAAATGTTGGTGTCAGTCAATAGTTGGCATAAAATTCTCCCACTTACTATTCAAGTTATGCCATATTTATATTCAGTTGATCCCAGTAGGGAAATAAAGGAACCTGAACGGTTGATGGAATTTCAGTAATGTTTGTAAGTACCTTTAAAGTCCAGTCCACACTTCTCCTTTAAATGATGGATGAAGTTTATCAGTTTACAGTTGAGATTGCACATTTCCATCCTGCTGTCTGACAAAAAAAAAATCTTGTAACATCTTTTAATAATATAACATTTCACATTAAACTTTTATAATGCGAATTTATTCCCCATTTTTGTATATTATTGTAAAACAAACCAGGTTACTATCACACTAAATGTAAGCAACCATATTCCACCATTCTGAAAATATGCTGCAAATGTTTCCAGTCAGTTATAAATATATAAAATAATCTGACTTCAAATACCATCAACAGCGACATCAGTTTAAGATTTTCTATTTGAAAAGAGAAATAAATATATCTAGAAACTTTACTAACCTCCAAACAGGATGGTGACAAACATTTTCAGGTCCTGACTGCAGTTAAGCTCCACCAGTACTGCCACTACCAGTATGTGTTTATTCCTAAGAGCCCAGGGAGTAACACGTTTGGACTGGACACAATGTACAACAATAGAGGCTATTAAATCAGTGTTGTGGTCTGCCTTGTGTGCCATGAACTGGCATACATAATGTAGAGATGGTAAACACACACACACACACACACACACACACACATCCTCCTCTTCTTTTGCTTTTCAAAGCTGAAGCCTTTTAAATGAGGGGACAAGGGACCGCTGTTGCTTGTATCCATGGAGTCTCTACACACAGACAGACTGGCACTCTGGACTTTATAGTTGTTGGACAGTGATGTCAAGACTGACTGAAAAAAGAGGCTTTTTATTGTTTCCCGCCACAGATTGGAACTAATAAATGAAACAGACCAAACACTGTTTCTACTTACTGTAACACCTATGAAGGAGATTTAAATCCAGTTTTTTTTTTCAAAATCAGCAAATGTGGGGGCACAGTGACCTAATCAGTGCTTAATGTTTGAGAACCACCAAATTCCTTAAAGATCCCCTCCAGACATGTATTAAGACATATACTACATACTACAAATACTAGGAACAATAATGTGTGTTTGAAATATTTTTTCCACAAAAAAAGTAGAATTTCCAGATTAAATCCCTATAAAGGCATCTCCTCCTTCCACTTTATTAATTTAGAATCTATATATATGCAAATTTAGTCAGTTATTTAATTTTAGTTCTTTCTAAAGTTTTTCTGCTGGAGACAAGATGTCCCCTTCTTCACTGTAAAGTCAATTCTCAGTGGATGTGCACTGGTGGCTTTAAGTTTCTACATCACACTGTACAAGTTGCCATACTGGACCAGGACTGACTTCTTTCTAACTATTTGTGATGTCACAAATCATGCTGGTAGGCCCGCCCCTTAAAATCAGATGTTCAATGAGCACAGAAAAACTTTCCACTTTCAGCAGATGAATGTGAAAACACTAGTGTCAAACACAGACATTCAAACATCATACTGTATGAACAAGAAGAACAACACATTTTTGAGTGGAGGGGGACTTTAATTTAAAGCAGCTATAATTGATATTTTTATAATAGTAATGTATCAAATGACAATGTGAAAGGGGTCTCCCCTCGTCTTTACAGAGCTTTATATATGTTTAGCTGTCCAACTTTATTGATTTGGTTCACTCTTACCGCTCTCGTAGTGTCATTTTTGGCCATAGCAGAAAGCTGTTTTCTAAGAAAGAGCTAAAAAAAAAAACCTCTGTACACTACCTGCTCAGCAGTTAGCACCCACTCGCTGGTGAACATTCAGGACTTGGTAGAGACCAAAAAGAGTGAATATTGAAATGCAGTTAAATGCTAATGTTGCTCTGTAATACTGGGTGTCAATAAGTTTGCCATAAATTTCCATTTTTTCTACGGATTAACGTTAAATAAACGTTGAGTGGGATTCATTCTGCTTGTGGATGATTCATTCTGCTTGTGGATGTTTTTGCCTTTGGACAGAGCCAAGCTAGCTGTGTTCCTCTCTTTCCAGTCTTTATGCTAAGCTAAGCTGATGCTACTAATCTTGTCCTCTTACTCAGCAAAAAAAACAAATAAGCAAATTTCCAGAAATGTCAAACTATTCCTTTAATATAAAATATAGATTAAAGCAGCTTTCAACAAAACACACACATCCATGGCTCTTTTTCAATGGCAATAAAGTTGCATTAAGTTTGGATTATAACCTTGATGTGACCCAGCTGAGGAGACAAGATATTGCCACAAAGGACAGCAGCCGAGCACGAGGACTCGGGAGGTCTCTGCGGTGAATCTTTAAAAAAGCACTAAAGCTCCCTGGGGAAGCTTTCAAAAAGAAGTGGGTCCTGTGCCCTGTAACCTGAACTCCCAGGGGATTTGCGATAAAAGCTGGGAAAATAAAGAACTCTAAAGATAGTTTGACTGCTTAACTAACCATTTCCCAGAATGAGCAAACCAGATCTCTGATTCAGTTCTATAGACTTCTAGATCTGATATGAAACATGACCCTGCTTGGTGAAAGTCCAATGGTAAGCCTGGAGGGGTTCCACAGCTACTGAGTAATGGCTGGGGACATTTTGTGGCCACTGCTGAACACAAATACAGTAAGTACACTTTGAAAATGTAAAAGGATTTATTGAAAGACAGGATTCTGTGATAGCCTGTCGAGAGAACACAGAAGGCAATAGCTGCACTGGACTGAGGATGAATTCAATGGGAAAAAACACAACTTCTAGTCTAATCATTTACAATCCTCTTCAAAACATTTCCCATCAGTCATCAAACTATCTCAGAAATCAACATTTACATGAACATAACTTAAATAAGAATACAATCAAGTCACATTGTCACAGTGAGCAATTATAAAACAAGATTACATTTCAGCACTACATTACCAACTTTGGGGCTTTTGCTTTTTAAAAGTGTGAAATATATGATTATTAATGCAAACATGAACCCATGTGTCACTGATTAAAGTTTTAGCTTTTCAGTCCAGTTAGAAACAGCATGGGGTCCGCAGGGAGCCATGACAAAACTGGAAGATATGTACATCACTGCCATGAAGCTGAATTACAATGGAATAGTCCGAATGTGAAAAATATTTAACTTTTGCAGATGAGCGTGAACGTTTCTAAGCAGGTCCTCAGGATAGGGTGAATCTAAAAATGGTGCAAATTATGGTGCACTACTGCATAAGAAATAATCCTCCCATGATGCCCATGATCCATGGTAGTGGTATAAGGTGAAATCCATCAGAGTGCGTTTATGTCCATATCCCTGAAAACACTCAATAATTTAATATTATACGTTTTTGTCTTCAGCCAAAGGCCCATTCAGACCAGAAATGGCAGGATGAAATGTAGACACACACTGTGGTATATTAGTTCAACCTGCCGTTAAACACCCTGTGAAGGCAACAACCAAGGTCCATACTGTCCCTTCTGTCCATAATAGCTGATCTTTGGTGGGTCAGGCCATTTGACTGGTCAAAGTGCATTTGTACTGAACAAAAGCATTTAGCAACTTCTTTGTTGAAACGAATGCAGAGTCATTACAGATGAGTGAAGTGCCTGCACCTTAAACACGGAAGGGTCGGTTGCTCAGAAAACCACGCTTGGTCATGTGGCGAAGCCGCACAACATCTTTGGCCCACTAGCAGTGATTTAGACTTTTCGTCTGGTTTAAATTAAAAAGTCACTTAACAGTAGAGATTTAAGTTTAAATCTCAGTAACATTGGTTGTCTGTTATCTGTTCACAGTGCTCCCATTTCTGTGGATTGGGACTTATCCTGATCCTTTGAAAGTTGCAGATGAGGTTGACATTTCACTGCAAGGCTCCTGAATACTAGTGAGGGGTCCCTCGTGGGCCTACGTCAGGACATCTTTGCCAGCTCAGTAAAGCAACTCTTATTGTTCTGTTTGTCGAACAGCGATGTGACCTGGGCAGCGCCGAGTTTCTGCTTGTCCTTATCTTCCACCACTTCTGGTCCAGTACAGTCATGCTGCTCCGCATGCTGTCGATGATGACCTATGGGGATTTGAGTCTGTCTGAGGGTTTGCATTGGACAAGGGCCCATTTTCGGACAGTTGGAGATGATGACTGACAGAGGGGGGTGGGATACTGCCACCAGACCGCCCCCTACAGGAGAGATGGAAGTAGGGCAGTTGTAGGAGCTTTCACAGCTACTGCTGCTGTGTTCAGTGAAAAGGTCAAAGCTTAGGCCGTTTGCCTTGAGTCTGATGGAGTCAGTGATGCTGTTGTGAATGGAGTTGCGCATACTGCTGCCACTCTCAAACAGCTCCCGCTGGCCCAGGATGTGACGCCGGATAATCCTCCGGAAGGTTTGTCGGAATTCCCGAATGCGGTAAGCGTAGATGAAGGGGTTGACCACAGAGTTGCCGTGGGAGAGAATAATGGCCACGTACATGATCCAGAGCGGGGGGCGCTCACACTGAGGGCAGAAGAGGGTGAAGCAGTTGATGATGTGTAACGGCAGCCAGCAGACTGCAAACAGCCCAACAATGATGGCTAGAGACTTGGCAGCCTGGACCTCTTTCTGCAGTGTGGAGCGCGACTTCTCTCCATGAACTGCTTTCACCTCGATCAGCTTGAGCTGGTGGCGAGCGGCCATGAAGATACACAGGTAGATGGCCAGCATCAGCAGCAGGGGAATCAGTACGCAAGCAAAGAAGTTAAAGTAGACCATATACTCCATGACTACCACCTCCTCAAACAGGCACTTCATCAGGCCAGGCGGGCAGGTGCTGTTGTCATTCTGGAAACGCTTGTGCCAGCCCATCATGGGGGTCAGACCGATGATGATGGATAAAACCCAGCAGATGGCGATGATGCCTTGTGCCCGCTGGCCCGTCACCAAGCTGTTGTACCTGGAGAGGGAGATGGATCAAACATCATGAGCCAGCTCTGTCTGTCAGCTCAAAACCCTCTGCACAGCCATACTAAGACATTTAGTAATAATAATTCTAATAAGCCTTTGTATACAATTTATGAAGTTTCCCTTGACTTAAAGTTTGCTTAGCTGATTGTTCCGTGGAAACACTTCTCATCCTGGAACTAAAAGAGAAAGGATAAACAAACAGTCTTTCAGGACTCCTCAAAGGAAGAGTCTATTTTGAGTATGCCTGTAGCACAGTGTGGGAGAGCAGCTGAGATATTTGGCTTGTTTCTATCACATTCTTGAGATGTTAAAGTGCAAAGGTTAATAATGCAAAAACAAGCCCCCCCCCCTTCCGTAATGCAAAAAACAGTACAGCGAAACTCTCACGTATCTTCATCAGAAGGAGGAGGCTGTGTGAAAACAGTCGTGAAAACAGGAAGGCTGAGCCCGGCGTGGCTCTGAGGTTTGGCATTTCGGTATGATGAGGTCACAGCTTGAGCTACAGCGTCACTGTTTGTCAGTCTGTCATTAAGTGAAAGGCTAAATGTATGTAGATGTTTCGCCCTTAGCTAATGTGAAGTCTGAGCTGGTGTTCAAGATAAACAGTGTGACTGAAGCCTTTTACTGTAAAATAATAAAGTCTGATTACACAGGGGGTTACACAGTCTGTATAAGCAATTAGAGCACTATTCATTTGATTGCTCCAGGGAGACGCAGTCTTTTGGGACACGCCATTTCTGGACACACTTATTCAGCCAAGACTTTCTGGTTCAAATGTCAGGACTTCACTGATAGATAGAAATTAAATATGTAGTTTTATTGTGAGACCTCCGCAGCCTGGACCAAGAAACAGATTAGACTAAGCTTGGAAGAGAAAGAGAAACAAACGTTGTGGCACATTTTAAATGCACTCTCCCTGTTTAAGAATACCAAATAAAGCACTTTAGGTTCCTTATTTTGTTTCCTAAAAGATATCTTTTATCTTTTTCTTACTTTTCAACCGTTTGTAAAGGTCTTATAAGATTTAACTAGAAGTCTTATTAATAGTTAACAAATCATTTAGTAATGCCTTTTAGATCAATTATTAATGGAACTATTCAGGGAAACATTTAGATTTTTGGGTTGCCAGTTTGCCAACAATCCATTTGGTGATTTTCAATGCAGTTATAAATGTTTGTAAACCATTAATTAACCATCTAATAAATCATCTAGTCTGCAGCTATCAGTGTTAATAAGTAATTCATAAAGCGGTTTTACTCTTTTAAGTCCACAGTTGTGTTCATGTTGTTAATAAGTGAATTTGTTTTCTCAAGAAACAGCTTATAACAGATATAAAGCATTAATAAACAATTTATTAACCACTAACTAGGCCACTACTTACTTATAACCCATAAATGTTGTCTTATTATAAAGTGGAGCCAAACTCTGCTGCATAAAAATATCTACAGCCACGCAGTTGTGTCCTCTGGGCCACGTACCTGAGCGGTAACTTGATTGCAATGTAGCGGTCTATAGCGATGGCCAGCAGGCTGAAGATGGAGCTCTGGGTGAGGACCAGCACAAAGCAGGCGATGAACAGGCAGCCATAGAAGTTGGAGCAGAAGCCGGTGCTGATGACGACAGAGAAGGGAATGGCCAGGACGCCCACGGCGATGTCGGCCACCGCCAGCGACACCACAAAGAAGTTGGTGATGGTCTGCAGGTTGCTGTTGAGGCACACGGCCCAGCAGACCAGCACATTGCCCAGCACGGAGAACACAGCGATCAGCAGCTCCAGGACGATGTAGAGGATGAAGGCGGCGGAGACGTCCGGCATGGTGAGACAAACGGCGAGGTCACTGATGAGGAGGGAGGAAACCTCACCTCAACAACCATAGCTGCAGCCTGGCAACCGCTGAGCTCAGCCTCCTCACCTCCAACACGTTCACAAGCATCCAGCAGATTCCCCAAGCAGCTGTGGCAAGTCCCTCACATCCACTCTGCTCAAACTGCTGAAAAAAAGGCTTATTCAACTTCAGATGGAGCTGTCATCTCTCCTAACTCCACACACAGGACGCAGTTGCCTCCATTCTCTCCTGGTGAAAAGCTCCTCTGCTGTCCTCTCCACTCAGGTCCTTCCCCCCAGCAGCTTTTTCCCATGAACTTCTCGAGGGGCTGAGATGGTGCCAACAACGCACATCACTGGAACATTATGTTGCTGGTAAAGACAGATAAAGAGGTGCAGAAGTGAAAAAGAGGAAATGCTTTTACAATAAAGGAAGTGGATTTCAACAGACATACACTTGAATCAGATATGTTTTGGAGCCAGACGTGGTGCAGGAAGTGTCGAACATTCTGTGGTGGTTCTAAAAATAAAGGATTATTTCCACAAACCTAAATTGATCTGAAAAGACTAGCTTATTAGCCAAATGACTGAGGTTCCTCCTTGACTATAGCCTCATAAAGACAGACTCCAGTCAATAAATCTGTCCTTTTAAAGAACAAATATGTCCCAGAATTTCTTTTAAATCTTCACACTTTTGAGAGGGTTTAAACATCTGGGGGAAATACTTAATACGGTGGTCTAATTCAAAGATGTCACTAAAACCATCAAAAAAACATTTCAGGGGGAGCACCCCTGGTTCAGATCCGGCCCTGGGCCCTTTGCTGCATGTCATCCTCTCTTTTCCCGCCTTTCCTGTCACTCTCTACTGTCACTATCCAAATAAAGCAAAATGCAAGAAAACACAACTATTTCAGTCTGCAATAATGGTCATGTGAGTGTCCAGTGTTGTGGGACTTTGGGCTGCTGATGTCTTCTGTAAACAGCCCCTCTTGACCCTGCAGAGGAGCAGTGGGAGAGCGGTTTGTGTAGACTACATCAGTGTCAAATGTACACGTACCAAAGCATTTCAGTGTGACAGTAAAGATTTGGAAATAAAACAGTTGATTTCTAATGCCACCTTTTGATATTTCTACTAAATGCTTTACTAATGTGCCACAATAATGTAAGTATTTTCAATTGGGGGCTTTTCAAGAAAATATGGATATATGTGATGGTTTCTGCCACCCTATGAATATTTCCCTAGATCTGCCCCTGTCCAGAGGTCTTTCAAGAGTAGCCTGTGGGTATATCGCTTGGCTGCAGTACAGAGACAGAGGAGAGCATACACCTTCTCATACATCTTTTGAAAGTACTGTAGAAATATATCATATGTCACAATATGTCATCTATTTTGAGGAAGTCAAAATAGGGCATTTTAGCTCACTTTTTGCAGCTAGATCTTGTTTTGTAAATGTCACTCTGTAAATGTGTCTTATTCGTCATCTTCTAAAGAAAGTTTAAGAAAGCAATTCATGGAAGTTTGATAAATATGACCCTGGTCTACCAGTGAATCACACTGTAGTTTGATTGCCTGATATCTGTGAGCCATCGGCCATAAAAGGCGTAACAAACAGAAAGCTGCTGTTTTTGTGGTGCTGAATTCCCTCAGAGGGAATGTTTCTTAAGGTTATGTCTAGTTTTTGGAGATAACAGCTGTGCTAGAACACAAAGATCTTTGCTCTCTGAGTCAGGGTTTTCCCTTTGGGTCAGATGAGAGCTTTTTATTAATACCAAAGACTTGTTATTTCAAGCTTGATAGTTATCAATATTTTTTTTTTGTTCATTCTATTTGACTTACAAATAAAGTTTTTGTTGGTCTTTTTCCTCTGAGCCTGGGGTATTTATTTATCTTGATGTCAGATACGTTTGGTGTTATATTGCAGCACATTATCATGTTTTATGCAGAAGCGGTGCATCAAAAAACTAAAATCCCAGAGGACAGTAAAGGAAACAATGAATCTCAATAAACTATGACAGTGCTTCTCCCATGCTAGCAGTGCATCCTACAATAACAAGCTGTCCACAGATGGAATTATGAAAACACACCAGAGGAACTCCAGGGATTCATAGTGAAACAAGGGAGGTCTATCTTAAGGATGGGCTTAGGTTCACATTAGCCAATTTAGAATTTGGCTCAGAAATTTAAATTGAAAAGGTACCATGTACATGATTGAGATGTTTTGCCAATTAAGGTTTGAAAGACCATTTACAAGCCTATTAAAGTTAAAGTGAATTTCCCCCAAACCTTGTTACGGCATCGCTGGGAAAAAAACAAATTGCCTCATCCTCCTCCTCCTGCCATGCAGAGGAACAAACATCAGACCTCTCAGCTTCCTGATAACAGACACTGTCACTGTGCTGATGGACGCTCATAGTGACAACATGACTGCTGGAGGAGGGATTAGGCTGATTATCCCCTTGCAAGAGTCTGTCAGCTGAAGTGTCCATGAGCTAAACACTGAGCACACCACCAGCTCCAGGAGAGCATCTGAGAGTGCCCTGCACCATGTAATGTAAAGTATAGCAATACAAATTATTGCTATTAACTATTGACTAGAAGGGATAAAAAGTAGCTGTGGGCCCCCAGTGACTCCCTGTTTGTGGTAATTTAGTTAAACACACGTATTAATATGCACCATTTACATTTTGAGAGTTAGTTAGTTAGTTGCCCATATTCCAAAGCAAATTCATAATTAATCAGAGCCCCCTGAATGTCTAGCTGTAGTCCAGCCCAGTTTGGACAACTTTTTTCTCTCTATAAAAATGTTAGTGCTGAATATAGTTAATGAAAAGCCAACCTTTTGTTACCTGAAATACTTATTTTCCTCTTTGCATCGAATAAGTTTTCCAGGTAAAAAGAGGCTTAAACATGCAGTTGATTACATTATGTGTCAATTGATTTTTGGATTATTTTTTTTTGAGAAACTGCATTACCAGTGTCCAGTGTGTAACATTTAGGAGGATATATTGGCAGAAATAATAGGATTTAGTGGCATCTGCAACTTCACCGCTAGATGCCACTAAATCCTACACACTGGTCCTTTAAATAAAATATAAACACTGTACTGCAGCATTATTGTTGCATTAGTTCTTCCTCGAGTCTTTGGTTTGTCACTCAATTTGGTGGGTGAGCTTTATTTATTCTGTTATTAAGGGGGTGTTCAGTAGGGGCCCCCAAACTTTGGCCCCCTTACAGCTGGATCCGGCCATGTTATAAGATGCTCAACACCGGGCCCATGTGGTTCACATGTTCAGTCATAAACGGGGACCTACAAGTTTGTTTTTATCTGAAAATGAGTTTAATAAGCTAAGTTTAAGTCTGCCAGAACAGCAAGCAGCAGGCGGGAGACGAGCTGCAGTCGTGTTGACACTCAGGTGAAGTAAAGGTACCCCAGCACCCAAAGGTACCCCAGCAGGACAGCACGGACACATGAAGCGCCGACAGGAATGCTGTTGGGACACTGCAGTGAGGTTTCTCCTGCTTGGTTTTGTTCTCACGGGTGAGGAAACCTAACACCCAGTGTAGGACCCCTTGTAACAACCCATCGCTTCAGTCCCTCACACAGGCTTTCAGCTCCTGCTGTGTGCTGCTGAGCTGCATGCGCTGCACACGTTCAATGTTAGGATCGCAGGCGTAAAGTCTAACCAAACGCACAAATACATTTAAGTTTAGAAGAATACAAGTAATGGAAAAATAAGTAAAGGAAGCAGAATTGCTTAAAAAATAACTTTTTTGTCAAATATATCATTGTAACACACAGCTGCTTCACTGATGCTTATGTTGTGTATAAACAGTTTGCTGGTATTACTTACTTGATCCAGATAAGTATCTATATAGTTGGTCTAATCCATAAATCTAATAACAATAATGCTTCTCAGCAAGTCAAGTCAACTTTATTGTCAAGTATGTATACATGACGACATACAGCATAGATGAAATTTCAGTCCTCTCAGACCCACGGTGCAAACAGGCAAGAAATTGATCTAAAAAATAATCATCAGAATTTGAGTGAAGTGACTGATAACTATTGATCAGATCAGGAAGTTTTATAGATTTTACTAAAGTAGAAGTCTAACTAATGATTTAACATCTCATGTGTTGTTAATTACGACACACCAGTCAACTTATTTTTAGAAATCCATGATGATTTTGCTTTTAGATTATAAAAATGCTGCGTTTTTTTTAGCTCTTCCAAGAATTTAGTTTGTTGATGCTTTTTATTGAGGCTTGTGAGATGTGGCAGGACACACAAAAATGGCCCAAAACCCCCTCTCATACTGATGAATAGCATCCCATGACTGTCCTGGCTGCTGCTTCAGTTAGGTATTTAGCAGTGTAACCAGCGTAAGGAGAAAAGGCCAAAATAGATATACATTTTATTATATAGTGTAAAAGATGTATTCCAGGTCTCAAACCACCAGCAGCACAGCACTGGCACTCACTGGGAGGTTTAAATAGGCAGTCTGCATATTAGCTATTAGCTAACAGGAAGGATAATTGGAAGGACTCTCATTAAGCAGCTCATTAAGTAGTAAACTGTGTTCTGCAAGTGAAATACAGACAATCTATTCCAGTAATGTCAGAACTCTGTCTCCACACACATGAAAAAATCCCAAATGCATCATTGAGGCAGAAAAGCTACTGCATAAACACATACTGTAGCTGCCAGAAAGATTGAAGATACACTAAATATTTTACAGTTTACTGGCTCATATCATTATATACAGGTTACATGAGCACCATGAAACACATTCTGGACATTTTACACTTTATATTCTCCTTCACAAAAGAAGATCCCACACTGTTCTTGCTCAGCATCACAATGTATTGATCGTACTAAAGTTTGGGTCCCTCTGGACCAGCGGTCAGTGACCTTTGCTTTCAAAAGAGCCAAAACAAAAGAGCCACAGAACATATTTGAGCCTTGTTATACTAATTTCTTGCTGCAGATCAAGTTTACCAGTAAGCCAGAAGAGTTGGTTGTGAAATCAAACAAATGTGTCCACACACTATTCAATTCCTAACTACAGAGTTGTTGTTTTTTTAAGGCAGACTCAAGACTAGTAATCATCAGTATAGAGGTTATTACAATTTGAGAATGTAAGAATCACTTTAGGCCTACAACAATGATAAATGAAAATAATCATTATTTATTTCCATATTATATTTTGTTAAAGCCACAGGGAACCACTGGAGAGGAGCTAAAGAGCTGCAGGTTGCCTACACCTGCTCCTTATCAGCAGTGTTTTAAACAGTTCTTACAACATTGATCTTAAAGGGGAACTTGGCAACTCTAGCCATTTCTTCGCTGGTTTTCACTTTTGTCATCGCATGTTTTCTCAACGAGCTCCC